CCATAATTTTAGTGTTGTCCCAGTCAAATGTATGTTGTTCGTTTAGAATGTGACAACCGAATGTTTAGCAGAGTCTAATTTAATATTATTTTTATGTTCTTTAAGTCTCGTTCCTAACTGTCTTTTTGTCTGTCCGACATATGTGGCGTCACAATCGTTGCAATTCAATCTATAAATAACATTAAAGAATCTTATGTTTACGTTAGGCCTGAATAAATTTTTTTCCGTTTTATTAACATATTAAATCTAAAACGACTATCTAATTGGTTCTTGAGCTTATGTTATGTATTATGGCTATGTTTTATGGAAACCGTGTGCTATGGGCCTAAAGACGATCTTAAACATAAGATCGTCTTAAGTCCGAATTTAAATACAGAGTCCAAATTAATGTACATTTGATTAATTGATTAATAACAAAATATTATAAGATTTTTATCTTATGATGCAGAATACATACCTATACATAACATACATATAATATACATACATAATACAATATCGTGCCTTTAAGTATGTAATAGCGAATTCAGTTGTATGCACTAGTGCGCACTGAGTGCATATAAAGGTTATTGCACACAATTTTACAATGACATGAGTAATTGAAAAAAGTAAAATAATTAATATAGTAAGAGGTATTACTCACTAATCAACACTAAGTAACAATAAAATAACATTGATGTTATAATTTCCTACTTAACAATGTAACTGATGCATTACAAGGCATGTTATATTACATATAATGTAATGGCATGTTAGTAATTATGGTGTGGTGCGGCATTGTAAATGGTTATTTGATTGGACCTTATTTTTTTAAAGAGAACGTTGATAGACACAGTTACTTATCGTTGCTAAGAGATCACTTACCAGGCTTATTAGAAGATGTTGACTTAGCAACAAGAGCAAGAATGTGACTTCAACAATATGGTGCTGCACCGCATTATGCACTCATTGTACGTGCCTTTTTAAATGCCAGTTACAATGACAGATGGATTGGACGAAGGGGTCCAGTTGAATGGCCTCCTTGCTCACCAGATCTGACGTCGCCTGATTTCTTTTTATGGGGATACTTGAAAAATGTTGTTTTTGCTGAACGACCAACCACAAGAGATGATTTTATGGACCGCATTCGTAGAGCTTGTGCAGCCATTCCTAGAGCTACCCTGCTTAGAACTGTGGATAGTTTTCAAAACAGATTGCAGTTATGCCTCGAAGCCAACAGAGGTAATTTTGAACAATTACTCCGTGGGTAATTCATTTAAATTACAGTGTCAGTGAGAGGCAAGGGAACTCACGATAACCAAGCACCCCGACGTGAGAGGCAAGGGGACTCACGATAATCAAGCACCCCGACGTGAGAGGCAAGGGGACCCACGATAATCAAGCACCCCGACGTGAGAGGCAAAGGGACTCACGATAATCAAGCACCCCGACGTGAGAGGCAAGGGGATTCACGATAATCAAGCACCCTAAAGGAAACAGAACTTACTACGTCCACATCGATGTTTCCGGGTAACGCTAAAAGTAAGATGAAAGTGTTTTTGACTTTAATATGACCTTCAAAAGGTCAGGTCAAAAAACTAAAACATCTCTATGCTCATGTAAAAAGTGCCATTGTTTAAGAGTCCATTGTTAAGAAACGGGTTCTGCGATCAAAAATAGGGTTTACTAATAAAAAATGCGTTATGAGCCTTAAACAACCTTGAAAATTGACCTCAAGGTCAAGCTAGTCAAAGTGATTTACACTTTTACAATTCATTGACTTTGTTTAAGCATTATGCACATTTGTGTTACCCAGAAAACCACGTCATTTCAGAAAAAGTACACGAGATCGTTTTTCATGCATTTCACCTTCATTTTTGATCTTTCCAAGGTCGCAAAAACAATTTTTTTATAAGACAAATTTGATGTAAAATTTTCCGCTCTTTTGAAATCCGCAGTCAAAAATAGGGTATCCCATTTAAAAAAACCATCGTGACCTTAAAATAACCTTCAAAATTGACTTCAAGGTCAAAACCAATGGTACAATTGAATGACCCCCTCTGTCCTGGTCAACTTTTATCTAAACCATTTTTTTGTAGATACCGTAATTTGGAATATATTCGGGTCCATAGACTAAAATGACTTATCCTGTATAATAAGCATGATAATTTTTACTCAAAACCGTATTCATCATCTTTATTTAATGTTCAATATATAAAGAAAGAAAATAACTCACTTGAAGTATAAAATATTGACTTCGTCAAAAGAAAATTAGTAGTGTTACCTTACAAAAACAAGCTTGTTTCATTTCCATTGTTACATATGTAAATTACTGTTAATTGAATTTATTAAAAAATGTATAATTTTTATTGTCAAAATTTATAATATTCTTTTCTTCATATAATATATAAATATGTTTATTATTAATCATAAAAATTGTTTTTTGTATTACAAATAATTCAAAGTATGAGATTAGCTGAATCTTATAAACTTGATATTTTATCTTCTGTAAATTTATGTTTCTTTTGTTACAAAATATTCAACAACAATATAATGACAAGATGACCTGGCTCGTTGTAAAATTTGATGATGAAGAAACAGTAGAAGCTGTTCCGAATACATGGTATAAAAATTCACAATGTTATTGGCCACCTGAAGGCACTGTACAACATGTCATAATAGATCTAATAAAGAAGAAACATCTTCCTACGACAGATTGGATGCTTTATAGAGCGAGTAGTTTAGACACTTATGGTAAAGTATACATATAAATTGTCTCACACGCACGCACGCACGCACGCACACTATATTGTGTATTTGTGTAACCAATATATATTTTATAAATCTATTGTATATATTTATATATGTATAGCAATTATATTACATAAGTAATAGTCATATCTATATTATTTATTAAGATAATTTACTTTTTAATTAAAAATACAACTACGTATTTATTTTTCACTTCTTTAATCAAATTTTAATTGACTTTGCGACCGTCTCTCCGTCCTCTCTCGTCAAACTAAGAGAGAGAGTGCGAGAGTGACTGCTGCGCAACTTCGTCGTGCCGCTCTCCGTTCTCTCAATACTTGCTCGGTATCACTGATTGCTCGGTATCGTATCTTTTTGAGCGCCAGGTGCGGTCAGGCCGCACCACTCAACAATAGCTCAACTAATAATCAGCGGACACGACGGCTCGGCCTCGGTAGCTCGGTATCAACAGGGGGTAGAGTGTCGTGGTTCTTTCCGTAAGGAGATTCGGATTCGCGGTCTCGGAGAGAGAGAGGAAATCTCGATATTGATTGTACTCAGAAATAGGATAAAATAAGAATATATTTTCAGTTAATAGTATATAAATGGTGTGAATCAAAGTAGCTATAATTTTATTATCGAGCCGTTGGGAGATCGCTGGGTGTTATCGAAATCTTTAGTTATCGTTACTCTCCTCCCTTTGTAACCGGCTCGGAATCGAATGGATCATATACCAATCCAGCGTAACTTATTCTCAAATTTCGTTAATTAATGACTCGATACAATGCTACAAATATAATATACTACGATATGACTGTCGACTCGTTTCGGTGCCCCTCGGAGAGGCGAAGAAGGCAAGGATTTACGCAATAACTTAATGACGCGGAAATCGACGTGAGTCCCGTGAGTCTCTCCACTAATTCTCGGTACTAAACGATTTACAGCATAATTGCTCGGTATCGTTAATTTTCTCTAATGACTCACGGATCTCTGCCGAATCCGCGCTTACCGGACGATCGAGGAGGTGGCCTTACAATATTTCGCCGTCGCAGTGGGCTGTAGTGGGTCGTTGTCCCTGGGTGTGCTCGCAGGACACCGGCTTGCCGAACAGTGATTTCCTTTCGGGCCGGCGGGACCTCGGCAGGTACGCTGGTGGGGAGGGGGAAGACAATGCGCGCCACCCCGGCCCGGTTGCCAGGTTTCGCGGCAGCGTTGCGCCCCGCGCCGGACCCGGAATCGATCCTCGTATCGATTCCGGTGTCTCGCGGCTGGTCGCGGACTTCCGCCGCCAAATTCAAATTCCAGCCCTCGGGAGCGATGATGTAGCAGGTCCATTTTCGGCGGTCCCGTCCACACCTCGTATGGCCGTATGCTGATGTTCCAAACGACCTTTCTTGGCTGAGGGAAGTCGTTCCGGGGTGATCAATCCCGTTAGATCTCCGTGTTTCTCTCGAGGCGTGGTGGCGGGCCCCTCAGGGCATCATCCTTGTCGAGGGATGTAGGCGCCTTTTACTCCCTGATCTGGACTGCTCCTGTTCGTCCCATCGAAGCTGTAACGAGTTTCTCTGCAGTATCGCTTCCTTATTTCTCGGTACCGTGTATAGGTTATCGTTCGTAATACTCACCGGGCCGGTCGCTCAGTCTCTGCTCCTCCCCTTTCGAGGTCGTTCCTCCGTCGCCTGTCCGGGTCCTCTTCTCCCTAAAACAATGGCCGTTCTCCTGGCCTACCACCTCGATCCCGATACAGAGTGCGGGCGAGCTAGCGAAAAGGTCGCTGCTCACCCGCACGAGACACAAAATAATATAGCGCTCTCAGACGCTTCCCGGCCGGGCGCGTCCGCCCTTGTGACGGGCTCAAAAGACCACGTCACAACTCCCCCCTTCCTGGGGAGGACCGAGAAGGTCTTGGACATCGACCCACATCGATGACCACCCACTCGATCACTGCCTCAAACTCAAACTTTTCTCTCGCCATGCCCCCCACCCACGAGGTCCCGAATTCTGCCGACAGTCATGATTAGGTTTTACTTCCCGCGATATCTTAAGGGAGTCTCGCCTCCCGAGACCACCACTCCGAAGGTGTCGCTCCGGGATGGGACAGACAATAGGGTGTAATTAACGGGGTCTCACATGTCTTACTACGAAAGTCCGTTTATTGACCTCCTCAGGTACAATTCGTGTACGCCCTACGGGGGTTCTTGGCCCCTCCTCGGTATCTGGTCTCCCATCTCCTTTACTCGGGAGGATTTTCCTGTGTTTCTCTCGGTATCCTAGTCAGGGTCGGGGGAATAGTAGGGTTTTAAATGTTGTATGTGGCTTTTACCGGCGGCTGACCCATCTAGACGAGTCAGCTCGTAAATTACGGAGGACAATTTCCTCCCGATTCGGAGGGGACCTTCGAATTTGGGTGCCAACTTTGCCGCGAAGTTATCGGCGGCCGACGAAAGGACGTGCCGCCTTCGCAAGACTAGTGCACCCGTACGAAAACTGCGAGTTCGACGCCTCAGATTATAGTACGTCGCCTGTTTTTCCTGGGCCTCCTCTAAACGTTCGCCAACCCATTCCCGAATCAACTTCAGCCGCTCCATTCTATCCGACCAAACCGCGGGATCGGCTGCGTCGACCTGAGCCATCTCGTTACCTCGGTCTCGCAGCCTCCCTCTCGGTATCAACTCTCGGCCCAGATTCAGGAATGCCGGCGAAGTTCCCAGGGAGGAATGCTCCGCGGTATTATATGCAAACCGGAAGTCCGCAATATTCCGGTCCCAATCCCTATGATCCCTATCTATGTAAGCGACTATCATTGTTTTTAAAACCCTATTCACCCTTTCTACGGGGTTCGCCTGAGGGTGGTATGGAGGGGTGGTATCGTGCCGTATCCCGTTTTCGCGGGCGAATTCCTCTATCTCCCTATTCACGAACTCGGTACCGTTGTCCGTCAGTAAACATTTGGGCGTGCCCCAACGCGAAATAACTAGGTCTACTAAGATTCCCTAATTTTTGGACCTGTCGCGGATCGGAGAGTCTTACACTCTATCCACTTTGTGAATAAGTCCTGAATCACTAGTAGGTATTTGAAACCGGACTTACTACGCGGTAAGGGTCCCATAATATCGGCGGCAACCACCGTCCATGGAGCTTCCGCTATTCGCCTACCCATGAGTCCCGCAGGACAGGCCTGCTCGACTTTTGTCAGTTGACACGGGCCGCATTTCTTAACATAACCTACTACATCTCGGAACATTCGCGGCCAGTAGTATGAGACCGCGAGACGCTGATATGTCTTCTCGATACCTAAGTGTCCGGATTGAGGAGCGTCGTGGGCTTCGCGTAACGCCTCCCTTCGTGACTCACTCGGTAGCACTAATTTCCATCGGTTCAGGTCTTCTACTATGTCCGAAACGACCGGCTTAGATCTTAGAAAATACAATTGGGCGTCTATTATTCGCCATTGATTGTAGCGATCCGGATCGCTCGCGACCTGTTTGAATCGATGTTTATACCATTTATCCGTGCTCTCGGGATCGGGATCTTCTCCTATCGCGCCCGCGGCCGCAACTACCGTTTCGTCGCTCTCGACTTCCCCCTCGTAGCTTCTCGATAAAGCGTCTGGTACGTGGTGTAAGGCCCCCTTTCTATGAATAATTTCGTAGTCGTATTCCAATAACTCGAGGGCCCACCTGGCTAATCTGCCCGTGGGATTCCGCAAGTTATGGAGCCACCTCAAACTACTATGATCTGTTATTACGGTGAATTTGTAACCCTCCAGATAGGGACGAAATTTCTTAATGGACCACACCACGGCCAGACACTCCTGCTCGGTAACGGTGTATTTTTTCTCGGGGTCCGTCAGAGCGCGACTCGCGAACGCGATCACTCTCTCCCCCTCCTCAAAATTTTGCGTCAGCACGGAGCCCAAACCTACCGAACTCGCGTCGGTTTGGAGTACGAAGGGTCTCTCGAAATCCGGGCATGCTAATACCGGTGCCGTGGTTAAATGCTCTTTTACGATTTGTACCGCGCGCGACTGCTCTTCCCCCCACTCCCATCGCTTGTTCTTCTTTAGCAATCTAGTGAGGGGCTCGGTAACGGTAGCTAAGCGCGGTATGAATCGTCTATACCACGAGGCCATGCCTAAAAACCGTCGTAGCTGTTTAATATTTCTCGGTATCGGAAACTCTATCACTGGTTGAGTCTTATCCGGGTCGACTGTAAGCCCTTCATTCTGCACGATAAATCCGAGATACTTTACTTGTGATTGACAAAATTCGCATTTTTCCGGGTTTATTGTTAACCCGGCGGACGATATTCTAATCATGACCCTCCTAAGCCACGCCAAATGTTCCTCGAATGTCGGCGTCGCGATAATAATGTCGTCTAAATAGGCGAATGCGAAAGGCTCCATTTCCGGTCCTATTAATTTATCTAGCAGCCGTTGAAATGTGGCCGGGGCTCCCGTGAGCCCGTACGGCATCCGCGTAAAATGAAAAAGTCCCTTGCCGGCTACGCTGAAGGCTGTTATTTCACGGCTTTCCTTAGCCAGGGGTATTTGAAAATACGCCTGACTGAGGTCCAAAGTGGAGATGTATTTCGCGGCTCTTAACTTGTCGAGGATAGCGTTCATGTTCGGGAGGGGATACGCGTCCTTCTTCGAGATCTCATTAACCTTCCGGAAATCTAAACAGAACCTATACTTTCCGGAAGGTTTCCTCACCATCACTATTGGATTGGACCATTCACTGAAAGAGGGCTCGATTATTCCGCTTTTTAGCATTCTATCAACTTCCTCGCGCACGGCGTCTTGTATTTTCGGGGATACAACGTAACACCGTTGTTTGATCGGTTTCTGTGCCCCGACGTCAATACGGTGTTCTGTCAGGGTGGTTACCCCCGGGTTATCGTTTGGAACTATCCCCGCTTCTTTCACTACGCTCTCTATCTGTGCGCGCTGGGAGGAGTCAAGCTCGGGTAGCCCGCTACAGGCGTGTTCGGACGGCTCGGTAGCGTTAAAACGGTACCTATGTGAGGGACTTCGCGAGAAGAACCACTCGGATTTGGCTAGATCTAACCCTATTCCAAACTTGCACAAAAAATCCATCCCTAGGATGCACGAAACTGCCAAATTGGGTAATAATCCCACGAAAAGGGTGTGTTCTATGCCGCCTAACTGGAGTGGTACCTCGCTAACCTCGTTTATTTTCGCCACTTGGCCATTCGCCGTCCGGATTTTTCCGCCTCGGTATCGCGATATTGGTAATCTGAGAGATCGCACGAGCTTAATTCCCTCCGTCCCTATCAGCGTTCTACTCGAGCCTGAGTCGACAAGAGCTCTTAACGGTCGTCCTTTTATGTATACTTCGAAATATTGCAACGGGGGAAATTCGGTATCGTCTAAGGTCACGTATGATTCTATACCCCCGGTGCCTGTAATTTCTCGAGTCCGTTCTTTTTGAGCCGATAGGACCCGATCTACCGACTCTCTCCCTCGTTTCCCGCGCAATTTGGACACGTTCGCGTCGTGTGCTGTTTCTTTCCGCACCGATAACAATGCAGACTTCGCGTCTGCGTACATTCTCGCGACCGGTGTCCCTTTTGTCCACAATTCCAACATTTCATGTCGGCTAATCGGCTACTCGCGGTGGATGAGGAGGGTGTCGTGTCCGTACCCGCGTTATTCACGGCGGCCACCGGAGGCCTCTTCGTCTCGGTAGCTTTCCCCCTTTTCTTGGGCGCGGTCGCGGGGACTGCGGCCGCGGCGACCGTTTTCGGGTGTCTAGGTGATCGCGATGCTCCCTTATACGCGAGTTCCGGAAAAATAGACCGCGTTGTTGTCGGCTGTCTATCTAGATCGTAACATTCCTCGATCTGCGACGCGAGGGTTTCTAATGACCGAAAATCATAAATTTCGTTACGCCTCACAGCTATACGCAACCTCGGTATCATGTTTCTATGCGCGTAATTTAGCTGTTCGTTTAGCTGCCATGGGGGGTCCAATCGTTCGAACAAGGCCTGCATGCAGGTTATATAATCGGCGACGGGTTCGTCTTCCCCCTGCTTGCGTCGCATTATCTCGTCCCGCAAGGTGAATTGGAAGTTCGGGCATCCAAATCGCGCACGCCACGCGGCCTCGAATTGCCCCCAGGTACGCCAAAGATGTTGATTCAGACGAAACCAATGGGCCGCGGTGCCCGATAAAAAGAACGGCAGACATTTAAATATTTCGTCGTCATCTAAGGGAATTAATTGCCGACCCTGCTCTATACGAATGAGGAAGGCCTCCGCCTCCCCGTCGCGTGCCCCGGAAAAATTTAAATTCCACTTTCGCATTACGTTATACGCGTCCACGGCGGAATTCGGTTTTACGCGAGGGCGATACGGCTCGGGATTTCTCCGCGGCTCCGAGTGCGTCTCTGTTGGCTCTGGGGGATGTATCCTGATTCGCGGTTTCGAGGACCACGCTAGGGCTTCGCCCCCGACAGCACCTTCCTCGGTATCCGACTCCTCGTCTGACGCTTCCGATATTTCAGGGGTCGGCATATGCTCTCGCCCTATTAATTGCGCGGCCTCGTATCTCAATAATCGAGCCCTAAGGGTGGGGAGGATCCCTTTGACGGACAGCTTTCTCTCCGCGAGGGCACACCTCACTTCCTCCTTTGATAACTTTCGAATCCACCGAAATTGTTCTTTTGTCGACATTTCGTTTTATGGTTAGTGACGGTGTGAGGGAAATGAGATCTCGAAGGGGAAGATAGATAGTACGCGGACCGTGACCGGATTGACTAAACGTACGCTCCCTCCCTCAACTGTCTCGCCAACTAACTCTTTCTCGGTATCTTTGTGAGCGTTGTCTAAATTAGACACCGTCAATCCTTGATTACGCCGCTCGGTCACGATACCCCCCCTCCTAGAACCCGAAAATATGTTGCGAACGATATTCTATAAATTCCTAGTTAATAGGAAAGTCACTCACAGGCGTGAATACTCGGCGCGAATATCTCTTGAGGAGATAAAGAAGGGGCGAGAAGAAGAGAGAAGAAGAAGAGAAAAAAAATTCTATTCTTATTCCTAATTCGATAAACAGAAAGAAACTAACAAGTTCGCGAAAGGCAGCGTATGCGAGGAAGTGGGAGAAAAAAAAAAAAATGTTCCTTTGTATACACGGACGTCCGTTATTGAGTCGAGTCTCGCTAAGGAATTTCGGGAATTCGCGTAAACATCTATTCACCAATATTCGTTCTTAGCTCTCGGTATCTTGACCATAATATCTGAGGACGCGATAATCCTTCAAGAACAATACGTGTTTACCCGCTTTTAGACTCGGCTCGACGAGTGGTAAATATTTCCGCGAAGAGATCGAAAGAAAGAAAGAAGAGAAAAAAAAATTCGTCGCTTTCCAATACTATTCCCCATACTGGGACAGGAATATTTGCCGACTTTGTATCACACGAAAAACTCGGTATCAATCAGGTGCCTATAATTCACTCGATATATCAAAGAAAGTCGTAAAAGGCGTATGAGCGCGCTACCTTTGTAATACTATACTACGCGGTCGGGTTTACGATGCCGCTCGCGACAAAGAAACGTGTCGGTGGTCGCTCTCTGTCATACGCGTAGCGCTCCTTCGTACTCGTGCACTTAACGCGATGGCACCTCAAATTCGAGTCCCCCCCGTTGTGACGGGAAGTCTCGAGATATCGAGACAAGCACAATGGGAACAATCTTAATAACGCGGGAACAATAATAATTGGGGACAAAGTAATACAAATGCATGCAATAAACAAAAGTCATCGACTGTATTAAGTCA